TATTTTAATAGTTGAAAACCCCAAGTAATAATAAGAAAAATATTTTCACATAACAAAATTACCATTTAAAAGAAAAAGAAAAAATCGGATCCGATGACTGTAAATAAATTAATCATTATGTTGTTTGCATTGTGGGTACTGAGGAAAAAGGTCAAATCAGATACCGTGACATCCATGTTGTTTCAGTATTTACCGTACGTTTTGTTTTGGTGATTTATTTGATGATTCTTTTTACTTTTCGCCAATAAAAGTCAAGCAACAAGCAATTGGACCAATACATTGTTGCTGGTTCTCCTGTTCTTAAGTATCTCAGCTAATTCAAGAATGATAAGAAAACTTGTTTTGACTATCCCATTGCGTGATTAACGCAATGCTTGTGGCAATCACTTCATGCATCCATTCATTGTTTTTTGTTTATTTATTCAGCCAGTGTTTCCCCAGATATCCAATCCATTGTCCTAGTTGTCACCTATGCCACTATCTATCTCTTAGTTCTTTGTTTTATCGCCTGTCAGTTTAAGAGGTCTCTCAATAACGTCATGACATCTTCCGGGACTGCAAAACAGCCTGTCACCAAACACAAAGAAGGGTACTGAAGATAAATAGAAGGGCGCTACAAATTGAAGGGAGACGCAAATAAATTAAAGAGAGGCGCCTCAGTATCTGATGCTTGAGTGTTAATTATATCAGTGATGTCATCGTCTTTGTCGCGCAATGTGTCAGGGGAATTTAAATTAGTTACTACATTCACCTGTTGAGAGTCTGTTGGAGTGCTATTTTGAGCACTATTGTTTTCATCATTCATCATTTGCATATTCGTTGTTTGAGAGTTTGGGCAAGTTTCACGTGTATGTCCCTTCATGTTACATGAAAAGCAAGTCAATTCGTCAGACGAAACGTAAATATTATATGTCTGACCTTGAAAAGTAATAGGTAATAAACCGTTGAATTGAGATCTTTTAAATATACATAAACTGGCGGCGATAAGACTTTACGTGTTTCAGTGCTGGTCTTTTGCACCCGATGGGATCGCTCGCACCGTGCTCATGACACGCCCGTATTTAGCTAAGGCATCTGTAATAAAATTGTCAGGTAAAAAAGGGAGGAACATTTGATAGCACAATTTTTGTAAAGGGGCGGACAAGAGTTTCAACAGAAACATGGAGGTCTCCAATGTCAATGCCAGCGGCAGAAACCATGTCGACCCATGTAACCTTATTTAAAAAGACAATAACCGATCGGTTAAAACGGGGATGCAGCCACAATATTACTGGCCCC